AACTGAACGGGTTCTGATGAGAACAGTGTAAGCGTTCAAGCAAACCACTTCTGAAGATGCAAGCCACTCGTGCTTGCGAAACGTCAAGAAGAAATTCTGTCTAGTCTTCTGATCTAGTTTTTTGCAAATATCTGAGTTTTTAATAACATTTAATTTTTTTCACGAATTTTTCTATACTCGAAAGACACTCCCAGACACCACCTCCACAGGAATGACGCCAATTTTGAATCACCCTGTATTATCGTTTGACTGATCATGATGAATTCATTCATCAGCCATCCTCATCTATGAAGCTTAGCTTAGCGAAAAACGACCATTTCACAATCAATCAAATACTGGTAAAAGAACGAGCGATTTGCATGATTAAACAATTAATAGGACTTTATTGTTAATAATTATTAATTTGTATACCCGAATCATAATGGATTTCAACACGCCTTATACAACGGCAGGAAAGTTTACAATCGGAAGCTTGGCACGGTGTTGTTTAACAGTTATGTAGGTTGTTAGAGGATTTAATGTTGAAGAAATTTTGGGATTTGCATCGTTTTACTGGCCAAAGCACTCTTGTGGCCAGAATGGCGAAGGAGCCGGTCAAGTTGCCGCAATGAAAACCGAAAGTCTATCGAGGAAATACGTTAAATTATCGACTGCGTGGCCCAGTTTGGAACTTAATCAGGAAATCTCCAAGCAATTTAACAGCTAATTTCAGACTTACAAAACCGCGCGCATAATGGGTATCGGCAAATCAAAATCCAAACACTTTTATCTCTCAAACAACCTAAATTTTCATCTTGGGTAATCGTCCAGCCAAATCTGCATACACATCTTTAATTCCACTCTATTATTACCAGTTGTTTACCACTCGCGATATCAGAATTTATGGCCAGCCCATAATACCCCGGTTGTTTAACATTAAGATCTCAACTTTATTAACTGATAGGAATCTCTGTCGAAATCATGTTCGATTTCCCAATCGAACTCGCTTTTGCGTTTAACATTGCCGATAGTCCTTCAATAACAATCTGCCCAATTAATCGAAATGTTCAACTTCTGGTAATTGATTGGTTTCCGATAGCGAATCGACTGGAGAATCGCGATTTTTTGCGTTAAAACCCATTCCCAGTGCGAGTGAGAGTTCAGTGTGAAGAAAGAAGATCCATTAGTATGCAACGCCAATTCTGCAACATTGTTTGGAAACAGAAACATGTTCAAGTAAAGCCCGTGGCCCATGCATCCGTTTATACGATGGTACGATGATACGAAAGTGTTTCCATTGGTTGAAGATCTGTCAATTCGTCCTGCGTTCGTAAGACGGCAAACGAATTGGCAGATCTCCAACCAATAGAAACACTTTCGTATCATCGGCTTAAAGCCCATGTCCCATGCGTCCGTTTATACGATGGTACGATGATACGAAAGTGTTTCTATTGATTGGAGATCTGTCAATTCGTCCACGTCGTACGACGACGGACGAATTGACAGATCTCCAACCAATAGAAACACTTTCGTATCATCGTACCATCGTATAAACGGACGCATGGAACACGGGCTTAACGTGCAACTAGACGGTAGAGAGTAACACGAAAATCCTGGACGTTTTGGCGAATGCTGGAGAAGCGTCAACGCTTTAAAACCTCCCTGGAAGGTGTCTTAAGTATCCACGGAGGTCCTGGCAGTCTTCCAGAGGCGCTCGTGCATTCAGGGTCTAGAAAACACGAATTTGAGAGTCTCCGGAATACTGGGCGGATTGCAGACAATATGGCGAAGCTGGACGCCCAATTGTTTTTGCGGCCAGAAATTCACAACTTGACAAGCGCCTTTATCGACTGTTCTGCTTAATTCAATGTTTTTGCGTAATTTCACTGTACTCTCAAAAACAGCCATCTACAGCCCTTTGAAACAACCAACAACATCCCCCTTACGCGGCCGCTGCAAGCCCGACAAGGACGGACAATCAACTGAGTGTCCCAGCCGAAAAAAAGTCAAACCTATCATTTGTCAACGAGCGGCTGTCGCAATATTTTCGAAGTTTTCTTGCAAAAAACTGCGGTTTTCGCTGTCGATTAGTCGAAATCCATCAATTTTCATCGGTTCCGACCGCGAAACGACAACCGGTGTGCGAAATAAATCGCGTATCGCGAGCTGATATTAAGCGCGGCTATTTCGGGCAGATTTATTCCGCTGCATGTAGGCATCGCAATATCGGCGAAACGCGATCATTTTTAGCGCAAAAAGCCGTAGGAGTCGAAAAGGAGTATTTATTATTTATTTATTAATGTATTCTCAATTTCAATTGGTCGTAATGAAGAATGGAAAATGCAACTGAGCACTTGTGCGCCAGCACAACAGTTGTTTGCAAGGTGCTCACAGTCTCAACGGGTCTTCGTGTGGTGTCCAGTGAAATGGTGCGACAATTATGAATGTAAGTAAACCGAATTGCTACTTTCCACACCCTCGCTTGGCTTGAAAAAACCAGCCAAACACCCAACTTTTCTGGGCATTTTGCTGTCATTCAGCACTAAAAGTTGTCAACTGTATTTACAAGCCGATTTTCCATGCACTAAACTGTGTCAGCTTGTCAGCAGTGTATACGAAAGGCCACTCACTGCTACCCTCTGGGGTTGGTTTGGCCCTGGGTGCGAGAGAGATAGAGCGAGCCCAACCGACCCAAACAGGTCCGTTTGCCCGTGATACACTGCGGCAAAATTGAAATGTTTGCCTTGAATATAGCACACATCTCAAACTTTATTCCAGTATTCCCGACAAATCAATGCAAAACTCTCTTACTACTTGAAGCCTTCACAGTTGATGAGAAATGACTCAAACCATAGCAAAATGCGAAACAATACGCAACCGTTGCCTAATTGCAGCTGTGCAGGAAATAGTAGATTTTAAGCGAAAATGCATTTTGCAATTTTTTACGCTCCCATAATTTAACCGCTAATCAGATTAATGATTCTGATGCTTCCGGGTGGGGCGATTCTTGCAGAAAACAATCGAAAACGCATAAAGAATGTTTAGGGAAAAGGAGACGAAATTGCATGGACACGCACCGGTTATTCGGAAAACACAAACAGAAAGTTCCCCAAAATAGAGCCGACGCCTGCGTTGCGACGCCCCGAACGCACATGTGTCGCATTGACGTTGTTGCCAAAATTACCCCAAAACTCAATTTTCTGATGATTTCCACAATTTACTTTGCACCAGGTTACACACGGGAAATGAATAGGGCTCGATTCGTTCACAGTAGGATGCACCACCCTCCCTTCGTGCATTAGTGGGCGGTTTCCGATACGGATCCGCAGGTTTTCCGTGTTTTTTTTCTAGCTAATGACGGCAACACCGCCTAAACTGCGGCCAGTCTATCGGAAAAGCGTCGATGCAGTTCGCGTCGAAAACACGCCAAAGACTCTTTGACGCCGCCGGTTCCGAGCTCGAAGACGCACGTTTCACGACCCTTAATTTCATCCCTTCGGAGGGCCACAATTTTGTCGAAGACTCGCAAATCGCCCCGGGCCGAAACACCCCACTGTTCTTCAACTAGACGCAAGGGTGGCCTTTGAGGCTCAAAGGGCATAGTGGTGGTGCGTCCTTTGTTGTGCGTACCTTCATTCCCTTACAACAGTTGGATTTTGTGAAAGCAAGGTAAGTTTGCAGGGTTTTGCTCAGGTAGTAGATGCGAAATTTTACTGCAGTAGCACCGGAGTTTTTTTGCGCTCAGATCAATATAATCCGTATTTCATTAAAAAAAAGCTGGCAATTAATTCTTGATGTCGCCTCAGAAGCGGACGAAATCCTCGCAAACGCCACTTTCAGTTGTGTCAATTAAAGAAAACCGAATACTCTTGATGAAGTAATCCACCTGAGTTCCTGCATGACTGTGCTTGCCTAATGAAACCGATCTAACGCGGTGTGTGCAATTTTCTCTAGAATGATGTACAAATGAGCGTTCTTGCTCATTTTGCCTCCGAAATATGAGCAAAAACGGGCCGAAAAACACGAAAATTTGGCATAATCTTGCACCTAAGTGTTTGATATTCAAATGTCGCTTTCCGGGCCAAAACTACTCAAATTTCCTCACTCACGTTGTTACGACTAAATCGAGTTTTCAATTCTCTATCCAACGATGCCAAAGCGAATTCTGTGGCCCGAATGGTTCTTGAGAAACTTCGAATAAAGGCCATTTAGTTATCTCTGGAATGATGTAAAAACGAGCGTTCTTGCTCATTTTGCTTCCGAGAAAC